ACCCAGATCTCAATAGGAAGTGACTCTTTCTATACATCTATCTACTACTGTTAAAATAGTGCGATCAGCTGCCTTAGAGCAAACTCAGGTGAAAGTCATATGTTTTTATTAATAAGGATCAGTTTTAACATCAGCAATGAAAGCTGCAGTGATTTAAAGGCATTCTACAAGAGCTCTATGTCTTGATTAAAGAGGCCATATAGATGACTGTGTCATCTGCATACAAATGTATCTTAGCTGGTCATATATGAAAATAGAAAATAAAGTAGGGGCTAAGATTGAGCCCTGTCATGCAGCTGACTTGTGAGAGATTGTTTTTACACTCACACTCTAAATGAAGTCTGTCTCTCTTAGTTGTCTCTAAACAGCAGGCCGGATAAGAAAGCAATGTGGATTGACTGTGGGATCCATGCCAGAGAGTGGATCTCTCCTGCTTTCTGCTTGTGGTTCGTTCAATATGTGAGTATATATTCAATATAGTGGAAAAAGTGGAGGAATGTTGTCACATATTTTGTATGTATTCCATCAGGGCAGTTTTACACCCATCCAGCACTAAAATCCATGTCCTCCCTTGCACAGTCTTTGTCATTTTACAAGATAAACTCAGACATTACTGACATTCTGGACAACATGGACGTCTACGTCTTGCCTGTTATGAATCCTGATGGTTACAAGGTCACGTGGACAACAGTAAGAATACATGTTTGTATACCGTGAAGTGCTCAAGCAGTTGGAAAGGAAGCAAACTGCATTGATGATTTTACCTTGATTTGTTTGTCTCAGAACAGGATGTGGAGGAAAAACCGTTCCCTCAACAAAAACAGCAAGTGCATCGGGGTAGAACTCAACAGGAACTTTGATGCAAACTGGTGCAGTAAGTATTTCTGATGAACACATTGCACTCTTTCCTCTCTTTATTAATTCTTCACATATGAGAGTGTCAGTAGCATCAATAAAATAAGGTGAATGTGTGACTTCCAGCAGAGGGAGCCTCTAACGATCCCTGCACGGAGAACTACTGAGGTACGTTCCCCGAGTCGGAACCAGAATCGAAGGCCGTTGCCAACTTCCTGCGCAGTCACAAGGACACAGTCCAGCTCTACCTCAGCATCCACTCCTACTCTCAGATGCTGCTCTTCCCGTACTCCTGCACCTTACAGGAAGCAGAGAACCACAAAGACCTGGTGAGAGGTTATAGTCGTAGCTTACAAGTTTCCACAGGAAGGTGCAGTTGTAGGATCCTGAAATGCAAAAAGGTTTTATGTGAGGGTAAAAGAGTTCTCTGGAGAAGCTTCTGGTTGAGTTGGATGAAACCCTTGGAATATAAAAGGGTTCATGGTAGAACCTCCTGGTTGGATTCTTGATAAAACTTATGGAATATGAACGAGTCCTCTGTAGGACCTCTAGGGTGGGTTCTTGTTTGCACCCTGAGAAGGTGGAAAGGTTCTGGATAGAGCCGCTTGAGAGGATTCGGAGTTGTAGGTATAACCCTTTATGCAGATGGAGCCCTGTGAAGCAGATCCACATATACAAGGTTTTTCTAGGAACCAAAAAGAGCTCTCCTATGGGGACAAGCCAAAGATCCCTATATGGTTTCATTCAACACCTTTGTCCTACTCAACTTCTTGATTTCTGTCACTTGAGATAAAACACAGA